AGCAGTGGCATGTGCCATGAAAAATCGATCGATTGCTGCAGCGAGGGATCTACCAATTGCACCGAGCATTAGAACTAGAAAAGCTTATAGATCACTTATAATGAGAGAAAGAGCGATAGAAATTCACACAGCTTTTCCTACAGTACTTTCCTTACCATATGCAAAAAATGATCCAAAAATGTGATATTATCAGTGATAAATGATAAAATGCTTATATCAGTGATAAGGGTAAATAAAAACTGCCCAATTTTTCGCGATAGTTTTCGATAATGAAAACTTAGTACCAGAACCTGCTATTCGTGACTTACGCTGTGATAAATGTTCACAAAAGCCTTAACATAGAGAACAACAAGGTATCATTGTAAGTCTACCCCCTCACCACGAATTACGGACATACTGTATATCAAACGATTCGTCTCATCAAGCTGAAGCCAAATCTACACGCAGATTGCAAATAATGTGGATTTAAAAGAAGTTATAGTTAAATCCCGCAAGTCCCGCAAATCCCGCGAATCCCGCAAATCCCGTGAAGTCGCGAATCCCGCAAACATCGCGAATCCCGAAAATCCCGCGAATCCCGAAAAACCCGCAATTTTGGACAAATTCCACGGCCACAACTGTATAGTGCAAAATTGAAAAAAAAAGTTCTTTGGTTTCTCTAATCTAGGCGTTTGCTGTCGTTTTCTTATTTTAGATATTCGCTGTTGAGAGAATAGTGCATAATGTACAGGTTTTATCGTTCCAAGAAAAACGCTGAAGTCTGGGGCCAGTTGCCGGCTATTTAATTTATATTGAAGCTTTATAGAATCACAATTAGTTTAATAGCACATGGCCACTTGGGTTACGCCCATTTCGACAGCTATACAGAACAATTGGCACAACGTCATTTCCTTATCGGCTACAAATAACCCTTCGCAAAGTAACTGAAGTCATCACATTTATGATGTAGTAGAGATTGGCTACTCATGGTGGCGCATTTGCTTAGCAGTAAAAGATTAGTCTTTTTTCTAAAAACATTTTGACTAAAGTACGCTTCAGAACGTTTCCTTTTGTGCTCATCTTGCCCGATCAACGTCTTATTTCATCTCAAACATTCATATTAACCCACACTGGGAGTTTATCTGATCCTTATATTCTCCAACATTAGAAACATTTCTGAAGCACCTTTCATGTGTCCAAGTTTTTGAACCTGTGCACTTGAAACAACTTAATCAAAAATTTAGGAACCATGTTTTCAATGATGGACTTAGCAGTTTCTATGAGAAGTTTGCTTTTGAACATTAGTCTTTATTTCTTCCCAAGCCAAGAAGACACCAATTTCTCAACCAATCTGGTTCATCTAGAGTGTCAAAAATCCTCTTTATCAATTCTGATATAATCCTCCATATCAATTCCAATATCCATCTTTTAACTCTTGCTCAAGATACTTTGCTAAGCATATTTTTCAGGCAGTACTAACACCGGCAGTAGCTGAGCTCTAATATCATGTTCCTTCCTTTTCTTAAAGCTGCAGGTTGTTCGAATCAAAGCACCGAGACCTCCCATGAGCGTAGATCAAAAAAGTGTAAATACTGCCAAGCGTAATGAAATGCAGTAAGCAGTAACAGAAGTATAAATAATGTCAAGCCTAATGAAATGCAGTTGAGCTTGCATAGTTCGCCGAAATTGGGAGATGGTCAACAGGCACGATTATTATGTAGATCATCAACTCAAAAGCCTAGTTCAGTGTTATGGGAACCTTCAAAAAAACCGAGCGGTGAGGTGGCTCACTAGTTGTTCGAAGCCATTGCTGAGTTTGACGGATTTTGATGAAATTGAGAGAAATGTTCACGAATTCGAACAACCTGCAGCTTTAAGGATTTTTGACCTTCAACACTAATGTTTTGAATTTTTTGTTTGAGTAAGACTGGCCAACCCATCAACTGTCTGGTACGTCTCCTTACAAATTTTAAAAGAGTATAGAGCGAGCAAAACACAAATTAAGTGCTATCTATCCTCCTAGCAATAAAAATTCCCGCTAAAATTGTGGTGCCCCACTATCTTTCGTTCTCCAAAAGTATCCGTCACTCCCTTGAGCTATGAAATACTAGACCTTCATTGCATTCATAACCAGACAACAAGATAGTGCTTTGGAGGAATTGCTTGATGGTGACACTATCTGTATCCTTGACTTCTCGCGAAATCACCTATGTATTTATCCATTGCGACGACCACTGTTTGCATGTTAGTGTGGCTTTCAATAAGCACAGACTCTACGCATGTTTCAAGCATTTGACGTATATGCAATTAAAAATGAAGTTCACTATGTAGTATGCCCAAATGCGTAGCTGCACTTAGTTATAATTCATTCCATACAGACAGTTCAAGTATTCAAACAACATCTTTATTTTCTCTGTAAACCCGCAGGTAATCTAAGTTCATATAATGTAGTCACTCCTGAATGGGAAAAGTGCTCCTCATACATATTTTTTTCTGGAGATTTCCGATATGGTTGTAAGAATTGACGAAAGTAAGCTTTCATTTGAGAGCCAAAAGTAGCGGTGGTCGCAAAAGCAAGCACAAGTAGAGTAAACAAAGCAGGGGGATTTAGGCTACTAAAAGTGAATGTTTGAAAAGTGGGAAACTGCGATAGAACTGTCTTGGCATGAAATTTTTTATAAGTTAACTAGGATAATTTCAATTTGAGAAGAAAAAATATTTTGATAAAAAAGCATCACCTCATTGAGATCTTACGGCAAATAAGGGTGTTTAGTTATCATCATTTTTTATTACTCATCCTTATTGAAATGGGAATGCACTTATGCTGAGTTTTTTTTCTGAAGTTTGCAGTTGTCGAAGCTTCTGTCTATTGGAATATCGTTATTTCCTACCTCATGTCAAACCATGAGCAAGCTGCCCACCTCATGGAATAAAACATTACAGGGACTAATTTTGTGTGATTGCAGTCAAAATTGTCTGAATCACACTATGACGAGAAGTTTGCCAAACAAGTTGTTTCATCTAATCGTTTAGTCAAACAAGAAATCTTGTTCCAACTCAGATCTTGAGAATGCGATGAATCCTCTATGAATTTGATCGAAAATATGCAGAGATTATGCTGGAACAGAGTGGACGTAAAAAACCCATCAAAAACTTGCAACTTCTGCCCTGATAATGAGGATGAGAATTACTGCACTCGCTCCGTACAGGATTGCTCACTGTAATGAGGGGAAACATCGATTTGTATACAAAGATGTCTTTTTGCTGTGCCCAAGTAATGATATGATGATCTGGCTTAAATATTTGAGAGATAATAGTGTCAAACTTTACTTATAAAAAATTGTACAAAAAGGATGTGGTCGATTTTTTCTGGTGAAGAAAGGACTCGTGAATGTGTGTAAGCAGCGGAATTTAGCAAATCTGGCATACGTGTAGAGGAAAATAAGAATCAAAGAGAGAGTTATAAAGGCCATATAGACAAAGAACGCGTACTTTCTCGCTCGAGTTGAATCGTACTGTCTCCCAACGGACCATTCATCTTTTCGAATACGGTACGTTGCGGCTGCATCAGCGAAACCTTTCCAAACAACATCCTCTGAGTTCAAGAACCCAGTTTTACCTAGACACTCTTCAACATCAAGACATCTAAATCTAATTCATCAAGGTAGAAGCATTCTATTTTCGACTGGCACCGACATGCCGAGCTATCATTACTGTTTGTGCATATAACAACTATTCAAATTTGCCAATAATAGAGATTCTAGATAGAAATCTTGATAAGTTCAACTATTCGAAGATGCGTCTGAACAGCAAGTGTTTTCTTGATCGAAAGGAGTAGTTTCTAGTGAAATCACAACTGAAGCTAGAACAAATTATCGGGCTTCCATTATTTTTCCGACCAAAATTTAAAATGCGATTTGAGTGTTCCGCTCAATCAGTTTTTACCACCGTGACACCAACTTTGATTTATTTGAGAATCACTAGCGATTTCTTTTTTTCACTCTTTCTATGTCGCATCAAAGGGATTCATTTGGTGCAAGAGCTTTGGACCAACCTAGCAGAATAAGTCTCCTGGACATAGTTGATATGGAATCAAAAAATAATTTTGGCGGTGTTGCTGTGCATTGTACTCTTTGTCTGTTGATTCACCTCGTTTTATTGTGTGCTTTCTTGAATGGTCACTTTCTATCCACTCAGCCATAGACTGTGTAGGAAGGGGAAGGGAGTAGTTCTGTAACTCACTGTATCTCAAATATGATTCCAACTCATCTCTCAGCATGAGATATACCGTACATTGCAATCTCCTTCTCTTCTTTTGACAAGCGATTACCAAAGAAAAATTCAGTGACGTAATCGTATGATGCTGTGTTGAAAAGAAGGGTGCCTTCCTCTTGCCCAAATCATCGGTGAAATCATTTCAGTTTTTTTTGCCACAACTCACTTCATTCATCCCTTTGCATGTAATTTGCTAGGTGATGATTTCGCTGCAAGTATTATTTGTCATCGATGATCGTTCGAGTCATGATTTGTCTTGGATTCAATGCTGTCCTTGATAGACTGTGACAGGTCAGAGAATCTAGGAAAGAAATCTGCTTTATTGTTGTTTCCTAGAAGTAAATTATCTGATATTTATACTTCCGTCTATCTATCTCTATACCAAATTTTTATGAATGTTTCAGCGGGGGCCTACAAATGCACTTCTGATGTCTCCGTGTTACGACAGCTGCTACTTTGAAAATTACGACTACCCCACGGAGGTAGGTCAATTTTTGTACGAGTTCTATCCAGATAGCGATTATGTCGAATACGAGATTTACGAGTGTTATGCACGATGGTTATTCAATGTGTTTCTCGTCTTTTTAATGCTATGGAAAGCCTTAATGTCGCAACTATTCACAATCAAAAGGGGGATTGACTGCATTGTAAATCTATTGTCCCCTTTGTAAATATCTAAATCATCAAGTTAGAGGCACTATACAAAAATCGGATTGTTATACATGAGGTGAATGTAGAAGACGATACGGTATTCAGAACTATAACCGTCTTATACTATTTGTCAACCACTACCACAAAGATTGTCTGCTACGCGGGGTTTGTCTCGATACAACACCTCAGGCTTGGGTAAATAAAGCTTTACACTCAAAATACGATAATGGCGATTGTAAGAAAGTTATTCAAATAATGAAAGACCTTCTCTCTATTTTCTAATTGGATCAACAAGATGAATGCTGCGAAACCGTCTGATGACAACAGAGTGCCAGAAGGCAAATCGATAGCTTTTGTCATTTTTGATATTACACAAAAGCTTCTATCTTGATACTACAAAGAAAGTTATGAATATGCTGTGGTAAGAAGGTGAATCTACGCTAACCAGCCAAGCCACGAATTTGACTCTCGACTTGCCAATTCCCTCCTCCACACACATTCCATATCCATCTGGTGCAGGTGTCGCCTAAATCACCCCTCTCTTTCGACTCGAGTTTTGAGAACGAGGGTGCTGTAAATCTCAAACCGCAGCATCATTGCTTTTTTTTGTTCGTTTGCGACAATATAGCTTATTGAATCTCTTTCACATTATCGCAACGCCGAACAATCGTCTCTCACTTATCGAATTCAAAGATTCGCTCGCTGTATCCAGGATATATACCAAACTGTCGTGACCTTGCGATGCCAGCCACATCTTGAAACAGCGCGGCTGGAAGCCGTTAAAGTCGCGTTTGGTGGCGTTCCTAGTAAACTACTGAAGATGAGTTTCAATGTTAGCGATAGAGCAGTGAGTAGCAGTGTTGGTATCGTTGAACGCACGACATGCATATGTGGATCCCTTGATAGTTGGGGAACAACATTGGAGGTGATGAGGGCTCGCACTTCAGGACTTGAAGACTATGCGTTTAACTTAACGGTGAAATCTGAATGTGTAGAGATAAGCCTGCATGCATGCCGGCAAGAATGGGACGACTCGTCCCGTGCCTTCAGTTTATTTCTTAGATAATTAGCAGTGATTTCTGTCTTCTCTATTGTAATTATCTAGTAGCATGACTGTTGTAACTGGGAATTGGCTTTGGGGTGGCGCTGTCGACTTAATGCAACAGAATGTGGGTGCGGGCACGCACGAATATAGACCCATTACTTTTCAAGAATTTTGTGGTAGAATAGACCCAGTTAAAGCAACTACCAAAGATTCATTTAATCTGTTGTATATAAAGAACAGCAATTTGGTCATTCACATTCGTTAGATACTTGAGAAGGGCAGTCAGTCACTGCGTAATCTATAATTAAAAGCCCAAGTCTCACCAAATCTTTAAGTTGCCAGCAGTACTGCCTCGAGCTAAAACTCTTGAAATACACTTGCTGAAAATGTAAGGTGGTAATGCTTCTCTCCATGTAGTTCTTATTGTTTGAGCTAATCTCATTTATAAATTACGTAAACAATCCTCCCATCTCCTACATAATCAACTGCGTTGTTGTAAAGGAAAAAAGCCTATTCTATAAGGATTAACTTAGTGCGCATCATGGATACCTGCTTTCCTACAACAGAAAAAATGCTTATTTGTACTTTGATGTTGGGTACATTTATAAGACTCCCACTGGTTATCGTCATGTTATTTGTTTGCCAGTTAGCTATGCAGCAAACATTCAATAATATGATGGATGCAACGTAGTACAAGCATAAGATTATTCTAACGTCTCATGTTATTACCAATTACGCATATTCCTCGTGTATCCTACATAGGTTTTACGCTACCATTCGAAGGAGCAGAGCAAGCTACAAGGCAGCACGCAAATATTCGCTTAGAATTTGTTCTACATATAGCGATTCCAAAATCTAAGAAAAAAATAACATCTCTAATTGAGCGCCGCATATGGATAGTACATGCCGGAGCAAGTAGAAAGTCAGTAAACAGTTTTTAAACAAAGATACGATTCTCGACTTTTCGGATATACAATTTCCTCTAGATTTCAGCTTCAAGCTTTACGTAGAACCAGCTGGCAAATCCGGCTTTGCCCGGCCATGTCCATAATACAATCGTAATTAGCATACTCACTTATCCCCCTGGGCTGACTCCCAGCCCCGTAGCTCAAACTATGAAAAATCAATAGAATCGGTGTTGATCGATGACCAAAACACTACGACCGCCCCCCCCCCAAAGGTGTTTGTGCAAAGTTTGGTCCGAATTGGTCCATGGAACTTCATATTCGGAGCATACGTACAGACACCATACAGATATGCACACAGATCGCACTTGCTTTGCTCTGTCGAGCGGTACCGCAAAACCTTTTGGAGACAGGAAGAATATGAGTTGAGTTTGAAGTGAAAAAGTAGGAAATTATGTTACACTCTGATACATTCAGTATTTTTATGATAATGAGCTTATCTATGCTAACATTCAGGGGCTTCGCTCCGGAACAAGATGGATATTTTTTGCTTTTCATCCTCAGACAATATTCAGCTTGTTCAGTGCCACCAATGGCGAGCTATGATTTCGCCTCGTTACCGGCTAAGTTTTGCAAAGTGGGCTCAAGAATATCTTCTCATATTTGACTTCAAGCATCTCGCTTAAGCACATAGCTTTTTACTTTGATACTATGTATTCCATGTATAGGTGCGTGATAGCATCTTTGAAGATAATTGGTGCAGCTTAGCTAAAAACGCTTTATTGGCATTCAATAAAACGGGGTTGTCAACGTCCAACTCGTCTTAGCCATCCAATGCAGTTGACCTTCTTCCAGCTCCTGTTTGGTATAGAAACGAAGGTGATGCCTGTTAGAGCTATAATCGACAAAAAGCTGGCAATCGACCATTTGAAATTGGCTCCTCTATTGACCAAGCATGAGACGCGCTGAAACTGTATTCTGTAACTTGAGACTTTTTCAAATCTGCAACCAACTCATACCTGATTAGAGGCTTTACAGCAGCACCTTGTATATCAATAGTGAAGATATGATATCACAAGGTGGTGTGCATTGTTCAACCTAGAAAAGAGACTATCACCTGAGTTTTCTATTTTTTATCAGTTATTACACCAATGTAAAAAGTGATGTAGGTTGTTCAAGTAGGTTCCTTGAAAACAGGGTTCTAAGAAACAAGTAAGCTAGTTCGGTCATAAGAGAATGATCTGATGTAAGCATATGATTGTTGAACTCCGGTGCATTTCGATGTTTATAAAATCGTGAGGACGGAATTCACTGCGGACTTTGCGCCCACAGGAGCATAAAACTCTTGTAAAGAAGGTATCACCTCAACGTTTACCTCAGTCACTTCCAATGTCTAAATATAATCATACGTAAACAAAAAACCATTCGACTAGAAACGAAAACTAAGAAAATGCGATTTTCGGGAAAGGCGGGTGTGTCGCGCGCGGTCGCGCCATCGTCACGATTTTTTAAATGCCCTACACCCAAAAGCAATTACAAGACATCAGCAATGTTGCATGGATGTGGATTTCGTTGTGATCCCTTTTCCCACAAAAACTCTAGAAGACTCTAGAAAATAAAGTCTAGCTAAAATTGGGCAACATTAGGCTCATCCTTGTTCTTTGCTCTTAAGGTGCACTTCAGTTGTCTTTTCAGTTCGACTCATTTTTTGTACACTTATGTCACGGAAGTAGAATGAAGAGATTAAACATATGACGTATGCTACGATGGTCTTAGGATTTTCTCATTCAAGCCCAATATAAGTCTTATAAAAAGAATTACTCAAAGTAATTGTTCATGACCACAAAAAAGAAAAGTTCTATTGAGTCTCTCTATGATGTGCAAATGCTACATGTGATTACTTACACTCATTACAGTAAGAAATTCTTGCGCTTCTGCTTATAAACACTTTTTCCAAAGTTTTTACTTCTTCTGTTGTAACAGCTTGGCGCTGCGTTAAGCGTTTATTCGTTTCGGAAACCCTAGCTGCTATGGAACGGTTCACTTACTCTTTCTGGACGAGAAAGGTATCCTTTCCTCACTTTTTGAAATCTCATTACCCATATATCAGTACGCCCTTAATGTTCATCAAAATCTAAATAATCTACATTAGTCTTTTGGATGATATAATAAAAGATGCGACTAGTTGTGGACGTATTTCGATTTTGTGCGTGCGTTATTTCTCAAAGGTTCTTATTGCTATCCTAACTAGATGGGGAGATTACTGCACATTGCTTCAAAGCCTTCACGTCAGGAGTCACGCCGTGCGCGGCGGCCGGCTTGCCATGCACGCCGCGTTCAAATCTTGGGACCCACAATTTCTTCGCTGTTAGAGGCAAAGACGGGAGGGTAGGGTGGAGGCAAATGCATGACTCGATGCCATAAACACTGCTCGAGGAATACTGCTGCTGTAGTGGTTGAGGTATGGGTATAGTATGGGTTACGGCCTTTCTTCGCGAAAAATTCGCGTCGATCGTACCTCCTGACTGTTCCCTCTTCTACACAGCTGCTTTCATCCCACTTCTATGCCAGCTCTTTGTGCCCAAACTGTGTTTTCGTAATTGACTCATTGACGGCCCAGGCACCTTTTGCTGCCAGGGACGATGTGGACCACCGGTGGCCCACACCTGTTGCAAAGTCATGTCCTTTGTAGGTCTAGTATTCTTCTATAAAATAATATTTTTCCAATTTTTTGCACTTTTGGGACCTGTAGGCTCGTGTTCAAAAAAATGTATATAGTAGTTTGCAAAACAACCTTGTATTCCGTAAATAACTACAAAACCTTCCCCCGCCGGAAGTGTTCTGCATGGCGTTGTCCCACAGCGCTGCCACGCAAAATTAG